ACTGACATGCCCACGCACATGGGGGCAGCCGCAACAATTCCATCCATTCTTCTCTCTCTCCCCCTCCCCTCCCCCCTCTCTCTCTCCAAACCTGATCGTTGATATCCCATTTTTACTATTTTGGAGATTTTTTGTCTCTCTCCCGTCCTGACCGTTGATATTCTATTTTTACTATTTTGAAAATTTTATCTCTCTCTCTCTCTCTCTCTATCTCTTCCTCCAACACTGACAGTTGATGTCCTATTTTTACTATTTTGGGAATTTTTGGTCTCTCTCTCACCGTGATATCCCATTTTTACTATTTTGAGAATTTTTTTTCATTCTATCCTAGCAAAATCTGACAAATGAAAAAAATCCTATCCAAAATCTATAAATCTTAAAAACATCAATACAACGTATAAAAAAATATGCAAAATTATCCAAAATCTGACAAGTTCATCTATTTGAAGTGATTAAGAAAATAGTAATTTTTTCAAATTAAGAATAATATACAAAATAATTTCTATAAATATGGTAAATTCAATTTTTTATATTACATTTTCTTCACCTTCTTATACTTATTCTCATCTATCATGGATAAAAGAAAAAACAAGAAATTTACCCAAAGTGATGAAAATCCGTCTCCTCCTTTCAATAATGCTTACCAAAATTTTCACACATTTTTGCCCCAAAATTTTTAGTTCAATATGCAAAATTTTGGGTATTCGCAAAATTTTGGTGTCCAAAATCTTCCTCCAATTCATGGAAGTTCGTCAAAATTTTCAAACCTATTCGTGATGTATCAACCACCCAGCTACTTTTCGCGAATGCTTGGAAATAATTTTCCATCGGGTTTAGTTAACACAAATATGTGTTTTCAGGTAGTCCATCAACACCAATTTCAACACGAAGAGATGTCAACGGGAGATCTGGCTCTCAAAGTTCAACACCTACGGGAATAATCTCTCAAAGTTTTTCACCACTATATTCAACTCAATTTGGAGTGGAAAATATTTCTCTATCGCAAGAACCACAAAAAGAAAATACCTTTAAATTATCAGCATTAGAGTGTGGATGAAGACCGACTTCTCACTTGTGCATGGCTCACAACTTCTAATTGCAGTGTTATAGGAAACTATCAAGACATGAAAGAGTCTTGAAAGCGGTTACATACTACAACAACAAGAGAGGATCTTTCCCAGAAAGGGAACAAGGTCAGTGCAAATCTCATTGGTATTGGTTTTTAAAATATGTTAATAAATTTAATCAACACTTCAATAGATTGTGGAATGAAAAACGTGTTAATTAGAATGATGAGCAAATAAAGGAAGCTGTTCATGAATTATTTTACCAACAAAATAAATGTAAACATTTCCAACATGAAGATGTGCGGAAAATAAAAAAATATTATCCATAATGGAATATTGTTGCTTCCGCTGAAGGCTCAAGCAAGAGGTCAAAAATTAATGAATTTGGAGGATACACTTCATCATCAAATGTTGACCCAAGTATCGAAATCAATGACATTAGAGAAGAGATTGTCTTATAGGACAAAAAGCAGCCAAAAAAGGAAAACGAAAGATGTGACAAAGGGAAAAGAAAAATCACGCGACGATGATAACGGTGATGAAGTCATGAAAATTCGAACTACTTTGATGGGCATTGAAAAAGAAAAAATTGGCTATTCAAGAAGAATATAACAAAGTGTACAATAGACATGCAATTGCCAAAGAATATGAGATATTGTTCAAGGATACTAAGGATATGACTGATGAAGAAAGACACTCCATGAACATTTTTGTGCAAAAATTAGGCCTAATTATAACTAATCTTATTATATTTATGTTTTTCGTTTAGACATTTTATTATATTGTAAGTGTGTTTTATTAGAATAATAAAATTATTGTATTTGTCTTGCAATTTTTTGGTTTTATTCAATTTTAATTTTTAGAATGAATATAATTTTTTTTTTTTTGAAAACTAACATAAAACTAAATGTTTCAAGTAGTAATATTAAAAGTAGACACACATAATATACAACCAAAACCTTGATTTTGCACCCAAAAACTTGTCACCCCAAGCTTGCCTATTGTGGTTTACCTTCCACTGTGATTTGCAGGCTATTGCTGTAGGCATGGGTTTACTCATCTCTGGTGGGGTCCCCAGCGTTACCAATATATATATATATATATTTACAATCTAAAACTAGAAAAAATAATTGAAAAAAAAAGACTTGTTGAGAAAGTAATCATTATAAAAATTAGCCATTGAAAAAATATTTGTTGGAAAACTGATTGTAATACTCCATGGGAACATTTATATATATATATATATATGTATTACTTGATGCTAATTATATTGCATATGACTTCCTATATTCCACACAAGTTATATTGCATATACAATTTTCTTCCATACAATGTCTCAAAATCCCCCTCCCAATTTCACTCCCTCATTTCTGGAAGATGCAACGAACGACTTTATGACTGAGCAAATATATGATACCAAAGGTTTGCGAATCATAAAGAGTTTGGATCAGTTGCACGAACAAAGAAGAGATGCAAGTTCTAGTGGTAGCTCTCAATGGAGAAACTATATCGATCGAGAGCATGATATTGGATAACAACGGCTGTCAGATGACTATTTTGTCAACGGTGCAGTATTTACTCTTAAGCAGTTTCGTCGAACATTTCGGATGCCAAAAGTTTTGTTTCTTCGCATTGTAGACGTTGTTCAAAATTACTCCAAAAAGTTTCAACTGAAGGTTGATACGTCAAGAAAAATGGGATTCATCACCATTCAAAAAGTTACTGCGGCTATTAGGCTATTAGCATATGGGGAACAACTGACAACCTTGAGGAATATCTAAAGATGGGTGAGTTTACTACAATTAAATGTTTAGAAGAATGTTGTCAATGCGTAATTGTAATTTTCTAACCACGATATTTGAGAAGGCCCAACGAGGATGATGTTCAACGTTTGCTTCAAATGCACAATGAACGTCATGGCTTTCCTGGAATGTTCGAAAGCATTGATTGTATGCAATGGAAATGAAAAAACTGTCCAATTGGGTAGAGAGGTCATTTCACTTTCGGTTATCATGGTAGTGTTCCCATCGATTGTGGTGCTTGAAGCAATCAAATCTGCTGATTTATAGATATGACATATGTATTTTGGACTCGATTTAACGATGTGTTAAACGGGTACGCTCGTAATTATTTAATTTACAGTAAATGCCACTCAATACAGGAAAAGTTATTATTTACAATGATATATATCCAGAGTAGGCAATATTTGCGAAGAGTTTTACATCGCCAGTAGAGGATAAGAGGAGAGTTTTCAAAAAAAATGTCAGAGTCAGCATGAAAAGATGTTGAGCGTGCATTAGAGTGTTCCAATCTTGTTGGCATATCAGATGTGAACTGGCTCGATCTTGGCATCAATCCAAACTTAAAAATATAATTATATTACACAATATGATATTAGCATATGAGAGAGAGGAAACAATGATGGGGATACTACTCACTTTGCACATTCTCAAGGTCCCATCTCAAATATTCAACAATACATCCAAAGAACTGCTCAAATACGTGATCGTGAAATACATCAGGAACTAATTTCATATTTGGTTAAGCATATTTTGGGACGTTTTCGCCACATTATTGATTTAAATTAATTTTATTAATTTGTCCTTTTTTTTCTTTTTAGATAATTTCATTCTCTCTGGATGTTTTCTCGTAGTGAATTTCGATTATATATATATATATATATTTTTTTTTTGAAATTTATGTACCAAGTCATGGTGTGATTTAATGATCATAAATATTTTATAATTGTTTACTTGTGTTCTTTTCTTTTTTTTTTTACAATTTTTTTCCCTAGAAACTAAGAAAATTATATATTTTATTATTGTTTACTTGTGTTCTTTTCTTTTTTTTACAATTTTTTCCCTTAGAAACTAAGAAAATTATATATTTGCCATAAATATATTTAAATATAATAATTTTGGTTAATTATGTAGTAATAGTGAAATATTTGTGGATAATAATAATAGATTAGTTGTGTGTCTAAGATTATATAGGTGATAAACGTCTAAGATTATATAGGTGATAAATTTAATACTATTGGGATAGAATGTGTAAAAAAGAAGAAAGTGGGTGGAATATCCATATGAGAATGCAGTAAAGTGTATTGTAATTGGTGCTGATGGAGATGCACTAATATCATTTACATGTCAATGATGGCAGTTCAACGAGTACAACGATAGGTGATTTATGGGTGTAACATCTTAGAACGTATACGAGCATCATCATTTTTCTTCAATCTTTGTGCAATAATCGTGTTGTACTCTTATTCTAATATCTTCAACGGAACAAGTCCATAATGAAAATTTCACGGCATTCAGCGATCCCTATTGCATTGCATTTGCATCCCAATCCAATGATGTCTCATGCATGTGGACCTCCATTGCGCAAAGAAGATTCTCCCTTTAAAGAAGTATCATCTTTCAGAAATATTTTATTGATTCAATGTGTGTAAAAGGCTAATCCAATTCCAATGAATTTCCTGATCAGAAAACCACTAAGTGTTTAAATAATGTAAAGCTCCTCGAAAGAAGATTCCTTTGACAATCACATAATTTAGTCAGCTTAATGATACCTTAACCGTTGAACTTTTTTTTTGTTTATTGAATATATTGCTCTCTAGTGTAATGCCTTCACCTATTATGTTACAGATCCTTCGGCTCTCTGAACACCATCTAAATGAGTCTTGTTTTGTAGAAGGGAAATCAGGAATATTGTAATGTCAATCTTTTTATTCTTTTGGGGCTGCTTTATGATAATGAAACTAACCAGCAAAAACCAGTAACGCTGCTAAGATCAAATGCAAGGCTAAGCTATTACGGGCCCGCCTGTATAGACATCCATTTTCAGTTTTTGTTTTAGATTTGATAGTGGTTTAATAGGTATTTTGCATTGACAAAAAAAAAAAAAAATCAGAGATAAACCAAATAGTGAAAATAAAGTAAAAAGAGGTCAGTGATTTCATCCACGTCCCAAGATATTAGAAATGGAAAATATTGTATTAAAAATGTATACATTAGACAAAATTAGAGAGTCACATGATCATGGATGCAATGTTGCAAAGTGATCTTTGTGTCTTCCATAGGAGAGTAGTCCACTAAACTTCTGTTGGCTGTTAATCAGAAACCAACTAGTTACATATATTCGAGTTTCTGGATTCGGACAACTCCATGCAAGCTTCAATCAACTGCAAACACAGAAGCCTGCGAAATGATGATGACGACGATGGCGAATATCAACTTCCCAGCGTACCACAAGAGTTATGAGTCTTTAGCTTCAGCAGTCCAATAGGTTTTCACTGCAACGAGAATTTTCTGGGGATTGAATGGTCCACTCTCGTGATCTATAATTCGACTCTCCCACCTCATTGCATCTGCAATGCTCTTGACTTTCACCAATGTCTCAACCACATCCCTAAACACAACTGTTCCTTCTGGCCTCAGAATCCTATCTAGCTCAAGAAGAATGTAAGTAATGTCACACCTGCCAATCAAATACATTCAGATATGTCACTCGAGTTGGCAAGAGGCAGTAGATATGACGCAAGATTAGAAAGGCCTAAAGAAGGATAATTTATATATACCTGTCTTGGTACATACTAATCACGCTATCTGCATGTATGAGGTCGTATGTTCTTGGATATGTTGAGAATGCTTCACACCAATCATGATATGTGCCAATAAATCCACGTTCGAATATGACTCCGAGAGTATCAGGATCTAGATTGGCAGGAACAACATTCATTACCCACACTGGATACTTTGACAAGGCTGCTGCAAAGCCACCTAAGTAAGCATTCATGTCCATTATGTTGCGATATTGCCCTTGGCCTATTGAACCTATGACATGTTTGTAATGCGCCACCCGGTCTCTCCATACATCATTATCTTCTTGGAACTTCTCCACACTGATTCCTGGTACAGAGCCACTGCTAATCCTAGGAGGAACGCTAAATGCACGCTCAGGCCATTTCTTCAAGGCCCCGCCAGCCACTTCATCTTTGTTGCTAACCTCTGGTAGTCGGCTGATACAGGTTTCCATGTCTTTGTACCTTCAAGGAAGATAATAACATAGAGGTTAGAATGATATCACATCAATAACATTCTCATATCAAATAGCCTAATTAGGAATTTAATAACTACCATCCTGCATCAGCATTGTCTGATTTGCACATGGGGGGTGTATGGTGAATTTCCCTGCTTTTAATACACTCAATGTGGTTGATAGGCTTTTGCCAGATAGCAAGGTCACCCTTTTCTACCACTTTCTTCCAGCATAGGCGTTTCGCAACATCCTCAATTGAATCTTGCTCTTGTTTCAAATCTTCTTGCGTTCTTTCCCAACCCCTCCAGTATTTCTTCCATCGGATAGGAGGTCCAGATAGTATCCAGTACCCACCAGGTCTAAGAACTCTGTCAACTTCAATTAGGTAGAGTCCATCTGCATAAGATGAAAGATACTTTTTATTGAGCATTACTGAGGAGGTCAACTTCGAGAGAAAATAGCTAAACTCTTCACATGGGATTAGAGAAACATGCTTCTGAACTCTCCAACATGAATAGCATATGCAGAAACCTACCGTACTGGAACCAAGGGATCAGACAGCGAGAGCAGTGAGCCATATCAAATGCCCTTGCAGGATATGGAAGCCGTTGTGAACCCATAACACCAAGCATTGCTGGAACGCCACGTTCCAGTGCAAACCAAACTTGTGCTTCGTGTGTATCTCTAGGGGCAAAAGACATTGCAATGATATTCCTTTTCAACAAGTAAGCACCCCAACTTGCAACCTATTGACATTAGTTAATTAGCTGAACTGAATATAAAGGGATTAATTAAATGGGAAGTCTGGCAAGCCAAACATTAACACAACATCAGAAAACAAGTGAATCAATCTAATTAAGCAGGCAAAATAACTGCACTTACCCCACAACCTGTATCGATCGCAGTCCTGATGTTTCCATTAGTAAGAGGAATCAGATCATTGATATCGTCTATATAGGCATCAGCCCCACGAGGAAACATGGTGCCTCCTCCAGGAAACTTAAAGCGATCCCCTTCATACTGTATCCAATTCTGATTTGCTTTCTCAACACTAAGATGTTTATGAGGAATGTTCGCATACCATGAGTAGTCTCTGCTCTGTGGCCATTTGAAAGGTGCCTTGTAGTTTGGAGGAGCCGGTATTAGGCAGCGAAGAAGCTGTTCCTTCTCAGGGCAGTGGCGCTCTCGGTACTTCAACATACTGCGATCGAATTTCCGTCCCCTATGTGGATCTTGGCAAGGAGTGTATTCAGTTAAGGACACATCACATGGTGGAAATGCCTGCACCTCCTCAGAAGTATTCCAATCTAACTGGTGATGGCTTTCAAAATCCAGAGGAGAAGAGAGTGACGATGAAACATCAGATGATGTCGGGGTATCAGAATTCCCCTTCTCAGAAGTTTTTTCTTGACAGTTAACTTTTTCCCACATCTCAGATTGGTTAGAAGGTGTAGGACTAGTACTTTGCCAAGCACCTAGAACATAAAACAATATGCACAGACCACTCACTGCCAGAATCCACGTGAGTCGTTTCCTTTTCGTTTCCAGATGATGAGGCTTAGGTGATCCATCCTTTGCCATTTAAACCTGGAAAAAATTTCACCCCATCAAACAACCTAAATTAATAAAACTATGCACTGACAGATACACTTAAAACCAGGACGACTATTTTTCACAAGCTCACAATACCTATAATGCTAGATTAGTTCTTCGACTTGTCAATGAATGAATGAGGCCTCTCAAACTCTCAGGCACAAACACATAAGAAATGTTTTAAAGATAGCAGCAAAAGAATATGACTACTGAAACTTCTTTGCTCACTTCTCCACTGTATTTCTTTTTTAATTTTTTTCCTTTTTCCTGCAAAAAAGTTCACCTCTTTTAGAATTTCTCAGTCCTGCCACCTTAAAGGCTAAACCAAGCTATCTATCTCCATTGATGAAGGTTTTTCATCACAATCATTTATAAAAAGATCTCTACTTTCTTCCAGGCCATGAAAAATCTCCATGACAGAAATGTATATGTAAGAAACTAGAACAAGAAAGTTGCTTAATTCACATCTCCCGACAGAGGGAATCTTACTAGATCTGCCTACAGGTGAATCCCAAGTGAGTTCAAACTTTGAGCTCGTGCATTAGACAACAAGTCTAGAAATAGTAATCCGTTTTTGAAGAGTAAATTTGTTTCAGCTCAAACTGAACATTGAACAAGATAAGCGAATGAAACCACTCTGCTATAGCTCAATCCATATCAACTCGAATCAAGTGTTTATTTATGGAGAGCTAAGGGAGCCAAGTTCAAGGGAAATCAAATCAGCTCATCTAACAGCAAGAGATTTGCTCCACCATGAAAAACGTTTTAAACTACAAAGTTCAGCATGTTACAAACAAAACTAAGGCAAAAGGTTTAGACAATGACATTTCTGCTAAGAAAATGAATGGAAAAAAAAAGGTAATTAATAATCACATACCTTGCCTCTGTGTCTCTTTCTCTGGCTGCTTCAATAACGCAGAGGGGAAGTAAAAAAAATAACCCCTTTTCTTTCAGTACTTGGGTAGAAATCTTACTGTAGTAGTGTTAATAATGATGGCTCAGTAAAGAGAGAGTTCCTGCATCCACACTTTCTGCAGTGTTGCCCATGAATCCGCTGTAAATGAAGCCATCATGTCATGTTAATTATATGGGAAAAAAAAAAACAAAAAGGAGTTTGAAACTATTGGACAAAAGCACAGAAAAGATGGCAAAGATAGTCAGCAAAAAAAGCTCCAGTCTAAAGATGCTTTTTTTTTCCCCTTTCACTTTAATATACAAACAGTTTACTTGTCCTTCCAGAACGTACCCTTTCATTTAAGTAGGAAAAAACACAGCAGTAGAAATAACTTCTTCAGAAGAAGAAACAGGGGATGAGTAAAAATTTCTATGACCACTGTGAAATGATAGTGTTTAGAAAGCGTAATGATGATAAAAACATGGGAAATGATGAAATCCCAGGAATATTCGTGGTGTTTTGGATCCAGATTCAAGGTAAAAAGAAGGAAACAAATGACATTTGTTTATGGGTTTTTGGGAGAGTCAGAGTGAGCAACCGACCATTTTTTTTTTTTTAACTGCTCTTTTCATCATCTTCCACAAAAACAAAAAATTTTCCTGATCATTTTCCTATAGACCAGCCTCAATTGCCTCTCTTCCCTACCTATTTCCCCATTTTATGACCATGATTCTATTACTAGTACAAATTAACCTATTCTCACTCATTTAAGTTGAAATTGAAAAAGGGAAAGGAAAAAAAAAAAGATAGTGTGAAAATTTACCAAGTGGATTTGTAACTTGTAAGTGCTCTTCTTCGTTCAATTTGCCTATAATCACACAGGCAAAATAATAAGAATATTCATCAATTGAGGAGGAAATAAGGAACATACTAAATCCAACATCTATGGAGTTATATAAAAGTTGTAACGGCATCTCCAATCCTTACACTATATTTTATGTTAAATTTAATATAGAAATGAAATATTCTCAACATTTTTTTGCACCAATTTTTTTTAAACTCCAACCTTGATGCACCAAATCCCTTTTACCCTATTAAAGCAGAATACAGGATGTTGATGTGGCAACTTCTTATTAAAACTTTTTGGCTCCAAATGCACCATATTGCATTGACTATTCTGCCACGTGTCATCCCCTTTTTAAAAGAAAAAAAAATCTTATCCGGAAAAACAAAAGTTACTTTAGAAAAATAGCTACACAATTTTAACTCCTAACATTTATCATTTATCAATCAAATTAAAATAGCATTTAAATTTGTCATAAACTTATCTCCTTTATTACTCCACATTCTTTTGTATGGTTTCTGTATCGTTGTACTTTTCAATATTTTTTTCCTTTGGCAGATGATTTTTTATTTTTATTTTTATTTTTGGCTAAAAAAAGAAAAAAAAACCAAATGCGTAGCTATTTTATTTTTTCCAACTCAAAAATTTATTTATCTATTAACACAAATTTAAAGTAGAGGGGTGCCCAGGCATCTGTCTGGGCCAAGCATCTAGTTTAGTTTAAAAAGAGTGAACCTCAAAACAAGTCATTGAACTATTAGATAATTCTAATACATGTCATCAATAAAATTTATTTGTATAACAGGTCACCTTACTAAGCAAAAAATTCATCTGAAATTATTCTGTTAATTTTGGCCGTTAAATATTGACGGAAATTCATTTTTCACATGCTTGGATTCAGGGGTATTTTTGTCATTTTGTTATTTTTTAATTTTTATTTTTTTGAAAAAACTTATTTTTTTATTTTTTTTTTAAACAATTCTTCTTCTTATACTTCCTAACTTGTATATACTGGTAGTAGAATTCTAAATTTTAAAAATTCATTTTACTTTTGTATTTTAACTTCGAGATTATAAAATTTAAAAATATAATTAAGAAATGAAGAAGAAAAATTCGAGTTAAAGTAAACATGAAAATTAATAGTTTACCATTTTAAACTAAAAGAAAAACTAAAAGAATTAGCTAAGACAAGTTGTTTCGTCTAAGTTATTTAATTATTTTCAACTCGATTTAATCATTTATTATTAATTTTCACGTTTACTTCAATTTGAATTTCGCTTCTTTATTTTTTTTATAAACTAGAAGTTAAAATAAAAATGACAAATTAATTTTTTAAATTTAATAATGATACTAGTACTAACATATACAAGTAAGGAAGCAAAAGAAGAAGAATCGTAAAAAAAAATTAATCATATTAATATTTAAATATATATATATATAAATTGATGAAATTGCCCCTTGACCCAAAAACAGATGAAAAATAGCTTTCTATCACGATTTAAATCCCAGAATAACCTAGGGGAAACAACTTCTCTTAGCTGAAAACTCTTTTGAACGTTAAATCGTAACGGAAAATTATTTTTCACATGCTTTTGGGTCAAGGGGTAGTTTCATAATTCTGTATTTTTCTTTAAATATATTAATATTTTAATTTTTTAAAACAATTTTTCTTCTTTTTCACTTCCTAACTTGTATATGTTGGTATTATAATAATTATTAAATTTCAAAAATTTATTTTTCATTTGTATTTTAAATTCTAGTTTATAAAAACATAAAGAAGAGAAATTCAAATCGAAGTAAACGTGAAATTTAATAATTAAATGATTAAATCAAGTTAAAAATAATTAAATAACCTAGAAGAAACAACTTCTCTTAGCTGATTTTTTAGTTTTTTTTGTTTAAAACGATAAACTATTAATTTTTATGTGTATTTCAACTCGAATTCTTCTTTTTCAGTTTTCTAATTTTTTTTAAAAAAAATTTATAATCTAGAAGTTAAACTACAAAATTTAAATTAATTTTTGAAATTTAGAAATTATATTACCAGCATATACAAGTTAGGAAGTATAAGAAGAAGCATTGTAAAACAAATAAAAATAAAAAAATTAATTTTTTTTTTAAAAAAAAATATTTGAAAATAAAAAATGACAAAAATACCCCTTAACCCAAAAGCATGTGAAAAATGGATTTCCGTCACTATTTAACGGCCAAAATTAACAGAATGGCCTCTGATGAGTTTTTTACTTAGTAAGGTGATCTTTTATACAAATAAATTTGATTGATGACCTTTATTAGAATTACTTAATAGTTCAATGACCCGTTTTGAGGTTCATTCGTTTAAAAATAAAGGTTCTGTTTGTTTCCTTTTTCTTATGGTTTTTTCAGAATAATATAGTAATATCTGTCTCATCTCATCATACCTTTTTACATTTCCAATACACCTTTTTACATTCCCGATACCAAAAACACCTAAAAACACATATTTACAATTACATTTTTATTTAATTGTGTTAATTCTTATTTGTGCTACAAGTTTTTATATGTGGTGATTTAATTATATCTAGCCAATATTCGTAAGTAGAAAATAATGGTAATTAAAGATATTTGTTTAAAAAAAATAAATATTATAGACAATATGAGTCTTATTTTGAAGATCTCAAAAAATCTTATAATATGATATTATTTATAATATAATTTATTATTTTAAGTCTAAAAATATAGCAAATCATTGTTTTTATAAAAATAAAAAAAAATAGTGCACAATGATAGTGCAATTGGTAGTTTACACCAAATTTGATGTAATCTTATTCATTGCACCAAAATAGTGTACTAATTTGAAGTCTTCCTTGGATCACAAATTTTACACCAAAACACTTGTTTGGACAATGGTTTATTTTAGTTTTTGGTTTAGTCTTTGTTTTGGGATTGAGATGAGATTTAAAATGTGATTTGAGATAAAATAATAAAAATTGTTAGGGGTGACAATTTTTTTTTTCTTTTTGGGTTAAAAAGGTGACAAAATTTAGTCTGGACCATTGAGTAAACTGTTAACTAGTTAGGCGGTGGCTGAATTTTCTTATCCATTGTCTTTTGTCACACATTTTGTTTTGTTGGCTGCCCGATATTTTTAGTTTCTAAAATATTTTTATTCACATTTTGTTCTTAATAGTTTTTAGGTGAAGAAATTAATTTTGATAGTTTTTTTTAATTTAAAATTGGTCCTATTTGCTTGATCCAGCCACCATTTAGGCAAAAGTCGATTTCTAAAATTATTTTTAAGAAGAAAAATTATGAATTTTATCTAATATATTACAATTTTATAAATTTTGTCACTATTTCTTTAAAAAAAATCAAATGAGCCAAATTTTAACTTTAGCCAACTAATTTTCTAACTTTAGTCTATTTAATTTTATTTATCTCAATCAAATGTATCCAAAAATATAAAATTTGCTACATTGTTCACTCTATATCCTCTCATTTTTACTGAGAACAAATTAAAAATTATCTTAGAATATTTTTATATTTTATCCCCAATATTTTTTATTATGTCGGCCTATTACTATATAAAATGTTTAATTCACCATTTTATCTCAAAAAAATCAAAATTTAGTGAAATAATAATATAGAAAATAAATTATCTCTAAAATAATAAAATAATTTTAATAAAATAATTTTAAAAATAATATTAGATTAAAGAATGTTTTTGCAATAAATTGTTATAATAATTAAAAGAAAAATAAATTTTGGTTTTTTTTCCCTTCTTTATTCCAATTCTTTGTTTTACTCGACTAACCATTTTCTCAAACTCTAAAATTTAAAAAAAATTTATTGTCATCTTTTTTTACCCATAGTTACATTGTCAATCATAAAAATTCAAAATTCTATTTGATTTTATCTTATCCAAATTTATCACGTTAGAATAAAAAATCTATACTCATTTCACCTGAAACCAGACTCATTGAACATGCTCATTGTCTTAATTTTTTGAACATACTCATTGTCTTAATTTTTTTACCTTGGCATAATTAATAAACACAAGGAGAAAAAGAAAAGGTTTGGAATATTTTAGGAGTTGAAAGAGTAAAATAAGAGATTAAAATGATGAAAATTCTAAAACATTAAATTTT